CTTGAGGTAATGACCTCGTACTTACGCCACATAATTAATTCAAAACTAGTTGAATTGGGTTTTCGCAGCTAAACAGGATGCGGGGCGGGGCGGGGCGGGGCGGGGCGGGGCGGCGCCGGTAATGGGGGCGCGGCGCAGCGCGGCTCGAGCGAGAGGAGACGATGACACCTCTCCTCCTCCCTCCCGTGGAATCCCTCCGGCGGCAGCGAGGCGAGAAGCAAGAGGAGGAAGATGGAGCGCCGTGCGCCGTGTTCCGGAGCAAACGGTCGGCAAGGTCGGAGGCCGGCCGTGTCGGCCCCCTGATGGATGTTGCCTTATTGGCAGGGGAGGTGAGACCTTCCGGGCAGCGGAGGTGGGGCGCGCAGGACCGAAGGTCAGTCTGCGGCGCAATCGCGCCGTAAGCAGACCACTCACACCATGGCAGCTCAATCCTACCACGAGCTGCACACTCATGATGCGCAGGGCAGAGCACTCAGACGGTAAATACAGTGTCTGATTTTTCGAGATCAACAGTGTGAGGCACACCTTTAGTTTGACGTAAACTCGTCAGATTTCAAGGAAGTCCCCACAAAGAATGTGGGAAGTTGTCTTTTAGGATTTTCCCTTAAGCTAAAGGAGTTTTTTGAAGTTTTCCCTCTTCCCTCAAAACATATACATTCTTTGAACCGTGAGCAAGAAGTCACAGCACACTCGCACAATTTAACGGCACACTGCCACAGTGAGCAGCACGCACCGCGAGAAGCACGCACACTATGACCAGCACCGTGAGCAGCACTAACATCAGAGGGATGAGGAAGAGGGAACGACGCATCCGCCAGCGCGCACGTCGTGTGGAGAGCAAAGGAAAGTGTGCTCTTAGCGGACGAGGTTCGAACCCACTGGCTGCCACGCCCCGCCTTACTCTGCTCTGCCGCGTGCCCACCCCTCACCTCGGACGGGATACGCCCGACAGCTTCGGCTTGGCTGCGCCCTCCTCCTCCCGGATCTCGTGGCCACAGGCGCGGTCGCTCAGTCATCGGTCCGGTCATCGAGGCCTGAAAACGGTTTCGGAAGGACCCGCACTAGCCCCACACACAGCCAACGTCCGGCGGGCGAGACGGAGCGGACCACGCGGCGGCAGCCGAGTCGGAGCACCGGAAGGCGGTTGGGGAGACTACCCCACCCCGCTCTTTCCCAACACAACGCGCGGGCAGCCCGAAGCAGAGAAAAGGGGCAGGTCAGTCGAACTGACCAGCAGAGACTCGAGTCCCAGGAGAAGATTCTACACAAAACTGTTTCGGCAGATGCAGCCCGGCTCCGACTGCCCCGCCCCGACCTAAACACCTTCGCAGTCCCAAGGCGCTCACAGATTGCCCTCCGGCCCAACGGGGGCTGACCCCCGGGCCTGCCCGCCCCGAGCTCCTCTGCATCTTTCATGCGGTGCTGTTCTGCTGGGCAGGCCCCTCTTTGACGCGACGGCGGGACCTCGGGCACAAACTCACTGTTTGCGGTAGAAACACCCGGAAGAAGCCCCAAAACATTCAGCACACCATGCCATGAGGTCGAATAGGCGCGTTTCAAGCTTTTTAATGGCCCCAAAACACGCAGATTAACGAGCGAAAAGTTCGAAATATCTCGCTAAGATTTTGAAGTTATCCTTTATCAACAATTGTTAAGCACCTTTGCATCTGCATGTTAGCTTGTCTTTTGTGTAAGCAGATGGCCTATTCTGTAAACCATCCCAGTATTTAGCACAATCTCTCACGCATTCTCGCGATCTTCCGAACTTTTACTCAGTGCACAAATTACAACCACACCATCGACATCTCGTCCATGAGCTCAGATTTATGCAATTTTTTTCCATAAACATAGGTTGTTTTGCAAGTAACAAATATTGTTAACGTTCTTACAGTGTACCAAGCTAAGAGTGCATGAGGCCAATGCAAGCTCTCCTAGCGCCTGCTGGGTAGGCAAAATCTACAGTCTCACAGCCACCACAATGCCATAATATGCGGAAACTTGTTAATATTTTGGCAAAAATCAAGAAGTGAAAACGTCGTCGCAGACCAAGTTTTCGATCATACGTGTGGCTCCGCTGGCCTTGAGGAGAGGAGGCCACCGGCCTCGCGCGAGTTGCGTGGATCACTGCCGTGTGATTGTCCCCGCAACCATGACCACTGGCCTCGTGTTGCCCGTTCCATCGGCCTTCCGGCCGTTGGGACCCCCCCCCCCCCTTCGAACTCCCTCCAAAGAGAGGTCCACGGGGAGAGAACGAGCGCATGGGGCGGAGGGGAGGGGGGTAAAACAAGGACGTAGAGCCAGTACTGTCTGTGCGAGCGGGGGCATGGGGGGAGGGGGTGTAAACAGTGACGGGGCGGTGGTGGGGAGGACAGACCGAGGGGTCTTCGTGGCGGCCAGTCCGGTGGTGTCGCGTATAGATCCCCTCCCCCTCCTCGTTTCTAAATGCTCTTCCTCCAGAGTTGGCCAGAGAATGTTATTTCGCGGCCTCCCTGCCTGCCCTCGCCCGCAGGCCGCAGGCGCTTTGTGTGTTGTTACCGAAGGCGGAGGAGACAGAGCGGTGGATCCTTATAAGTTTCCGTCAATTAAGAATAGTTGTAATCATTACTACCATGAAATGTTGAATTGCCCGTGAGGCGGACCGCCGCCGCCGCCGTCGTTGCGAAAATAACACAATGGAAATGTCCCCGCTCGGCTTGTCCCCGGGGCTTGGCCGCTTTTGTGCCGAGTCAACCAAAACTATAAGGGTCCCGGGAACTTTAGCCGCAACTGTTATTACTGTAAGACAAGTTGAAATGACGCTGAGGCGCACAAGGCCCTGAGGGTGGCGGAGCGCAGAGCGCCACTCACAAGCAGCCGGGAGGCAGCTCGACACACACGGGACCCAGCCCCCGGGGCCCAGGGGCCCAGGGCGTCCACAGCCACACGTGCAGCCCCTTGAGCCCAGAGCAGGCCCAGCCTCAGCAAGCGGCACTACCGCACCGCGATTTGAAATGAAAGCCCCACCAGGAATTTACTCCCTCATGAAAGGTCACCTTTGTAGACTGCTCGGCAGGAAAGCCATCTCCCTCTCCAAGCCCCCTCTCTCTTTCTCTTCCGTGCCTCGCCTCCACTTCCGAGGAAGTAGAGGAAAAGTGGTGGCGACGGGGAGCTTGCTGGAAAGGGCAGGGGTTGGGGGCGACAGGGACGAGGATGCGCAGGGAGGGGGGAGAGACAGACGTAGCTCTGAAAGGCGATCTAATATATTCCGGGCCTGAGCCTGCACCAACAACCGAAATTCCAGCCATTCCAGTCGACACAGAGCCGGCATAACAGACTAGACTGCTGGGGTGGGGTGGGACGGGTGGAGCCGAGGCGGAGCAGGCGACGGGTGGGGACAACAGCGCGCGGCAGCCACGCTCGGGGGCCGCGGCGGCCCGGGAGAGCTCATTCAGCAGCCGATCTTCCAGGACGACAAGGAGGTGCTCGTCCGGGCGGCAGGGGGCGGGGGGGCCGAGACAGGGCGCTGTTCTTCCCGCTTTCATCGTCATTGGCGGCACATAGCGTGCCCCTTCCCCACTCCCCCCCTCCCCTTCTCTCCGGCCCCGCGCCATCCTCCAGGGCCCTGCCGTCATATTCTAGTCGTCGCGCTGTCCTATGGACATAGAATCGCGAACGGGTCGTTTTAAAAATGAACACGGGGCGCCCGGAGGACGTCGTCGGCGCGGGCCGGGAGCAGGCAGCAGCGCCGAATCATCTTTTCATGGCGCGGCGCTCGCTTTTGTCAGCCCCCTTCTCGCCACCCCTGCTCCCCGAATGCTGCTGCTCCCCTGTGTTGCTTTTTTCATTCCCTTTCGAAAATGATTGCTCGATCCGGGTCGCCCCCCCCACACAGCCACACACAATTTGAAGACGAGGAAATATTGATGATGGTTGGTCCGCGGTCCACGCCGCGCGACCGCAGGTCCAGTCTAGCGGCCGGCCGCCGGTTTTACGCGCCGCGCTGCTGGCACTAACTCGTGAGGTTTTCCGCGCCGTTGAACCCGAAGAGGCGCGCTTTGTCGTTGCCGGGCGGCGCCGGCCGCTTTCTTGCCTCTGCTTCTCCACAACACGCCCCGGCTCTCCCTCTCCGGCCTCCTCTGCTTATCCGCCTTTGAAGATTTTGGCGAGATTTAATTGCTCAGTCAGGCGACCAAAGAGCAATCCAAATAATGGCTTTAAGAGGGAGTTCCTTCATTTGGCTGCTACGACAAGCGAGAACAGTAATCCCCCCCCCTTTATCAACAATATGATCGAACCAGACCGCAATCGCATATTTTGTTTTCCTATTTCACTCACTTAAAGCGGTCCTGCACGTCGGAGATGCGCTCCCGCACTGCCTGGATGAAGTCGTCATGGCCGGCGATCTGCGTCGTCACCACGGAGAACTGGTGCCACTTGTAGCGCTCCAGGATGGACAGCATGGCGGCAGTCTGGTGCTCCAGCGAGGGCGCCAGCTGCAGCTGCAGGCTCGACTGCGATGCTCTCTGCGGCAGACAAGAAAATATAGGTGGATCTCCAATGGAGCAATCTGCGCTACCCATCACCCATCATCCGTCACCCATCACTTGATATTTCGTGTATTTACGCGTACAACTCGGGTTGTGGTTAAGACTAAGGATGTGTGTGAACAATTAATATGACTATACACCTTATGATTGTATTTCACGATGTAAAAACACGAAATCGCAAGTGATGGGTGACGGATGATGGGTGATGGGTAGCGTAGATTGCTCCATTGGAGATCCACCTTATCTCCATGAGACGAGGATGTCGGCTGTGTTCCCGCCGTTTCTGCGCGCGACGGACCAAAATGCAATACCCGACCAAACCAGTGCCGGGGAGCGTCTAATCCCCTTCTCCTTCCCGTCCAGCTCACTGGGCGGGGCGCGCGGGCGAAGGCGAGGGAAGGGGTTGGGGGCGGGGGTAGTAATTCATCTCATTACGCTGATACGGCTTGAGAGATGGGAGTGGTGGAGTGGGCGTGGGGTGGGGGTGCAGAGGCCGGGGAGGGGTGAGGGTTTGCGCAGCTGCGGCAGCAGCGACACAACAACGAATATGCAGAAGTCATCCCCAGCCTGGGGGCGGCTCGCTCGTCATGACAGCGGGGCCTCTGCGGGGCCTCTGTCTGCAACGCCAAGGCGCGGGCAGGGAGGAGGCCGAGGATCGGTGGGGACCGCAATCACTTTGACTGGGAGGGGACCAACTACCCGTCAAAAATACAATAAAAATACGAGAAAAATTCAGGAAAAACACGCAAAGCGTGCACAGAGGTACATAAGCCCCTCCCCCCTCCCTTTACCCTTGGTCAGCCACTGCCACACGCAGCCGCGGACTATGCGAGTGGGGGGGGGGGGGCGTATGGATTCCTCGTAAGCCGAGTAGACCAGCTGCCCGCCTCCACGGCTCAAGCACCCTCCTTCCCAATTCTTCTCCAGCTCCCACCTGGGAGCAAATCACGCGTGTATTCCACTGTTCTTTAAGATACTTCCTGATTGTTTCAAATTATTTCGATCTATTTCGCGGCTTTATGCACTGTTTTGGGGATATTTCTAAAGGAATCCGCCTCCGGTTTGGCGCATATTTTACTCCGTTCCGCCTTCATTTAACGCACTGTTTAGCATATTTTTTGACTATGGCAAACGCACGAGCCATATCGCATGTGATTTACCCCTCGGCTCCCACAGCCCGCCCTGAGGCCCAGGCGGAGCTATGACAGATGCCCCTGGAACCGCCCGCCCGCCTTGCCCTCGGGCACGCCCACCGGGAACCCCGATATTTTCTGGACTTGACTTTTGCCAAATACAGCTACACCTACAGCAAGCATTTGCTACACCGCTCGCAAACATCGTCGCATTCCCCAAAAAATGTCCTGTGTAATCTTTCTCCTCTGGAGTAAAGTTGAATTTAATAGGAGGCATGACGATGTTACATGTGCGCACCTAATGAATTCACGTTATACCCAAAAATGTAATGCTGATGTCTAGTTAGCACTTTGCAATAATTTCCCAATATCAACGACTGGTCGAGAAAAGCTCCCTCCGGTTCGGGCCCTATGGGGCATCAAACTCATTTTGCGCAAACATAAGAGTGATCTCTGCTCCGCTACCTCCTAGGCCGTCACCCATACCCTGCCCCACAAGCTACGGATCCCCTCTTGACCCAACTTCCCTCTGGCCCCCTCTCGAGCAAATGTGGGCCGGCGCGGAGGCGTAGGCAGAGGCAAGGTCGGCGGCGCATTCCTCGTGCGTGCAAAGTCGACGCGTGCTCTGCATGTTCAGGATCCTGGCCGAAGCAGCCGGCGGCCTGGTTGGGCACGTTAGGCGAGCCAAAGCGAAGAGGACTTTTATCTGCCCAGCGCGGCGTAGCGAAATCTCTCACGGCGCATCTCTCCATCTCTCTCTCTCTCCCCTTCTCGCTCTCTCTCTCTGTCTCTCTCCCTCACCAGCTAAAAAAAATTTCGACGAGGGCGATAAAAGAAATGTGTCGGGAGGAAAAAATCGCTTGAAGCGCAACGCGAGAATAAACAGTGCGTTGCGGACGGAAACAAAGCGGGCCGCCGCCGTGGCCTCGCACTTGGTCCTTCGCGCCGAATTAGCTGTTGGGGGACTTTTCCTTTTCGCCCGCGTTGCTTTTGCGGGCATAATATTTTTGTTTGTTTGGAGTTATAACATCTTACGAACGTCTTTGTTTAAATTATGAGCGCCGTGTTCGTCCCTAAGAGAAAGGAAACACCCAATTCGGACCCATTTTAGTACCAACGTAGGGCCCCGTGCGTTAACATTATGCACGGGGTAGCTGAGCGAAGTGCATTAATATAACAGAAGACGTAACAAATATAGAACAAAACTATAATGAATGAGGGTCCGCCTAGTAGGTAGGCAACCGATTCTGCTCCTTGAACGTGAGAGATGGGGGGAGGGACCAGACGGACCTTAAACCGCGGCCTGGTCCGGTTGGGTCGCTGTATTCAACTAGAATTCAAATCCCTTGCACCTCTCTCTGTACAACAGGTACTTTTAGTGAGTAGTGAACTTGATTAATTACTATGCAATATAATAGATTTGGAAGTCCACTAGAAAAGCTTGATACTGGGAAGTCTGGTTTCTATTCATCAAAA